TCTCTTTTTCATTGTGTCTTCTCTGTGTCTTTTCTCCTCTGTTTTGTTCTTTTCTCCCCCTTTTCATTCTTTCTTCCATCCTTTTATACATCAATCCACCCTTATCACTTTTGTTATCCACCTACCTTCACATGATCAATGGTCCTCCACAAAATAAAGGCCCCCACTTTTACCCTGGAATTTGAATTTTATGTCTTTTTCCCATCACTGAACTATTCAGTGCACCTCAAATCTACTTAGGTGTCATAGATAGGACGTTGCCATTTTGAGAGCTTTCTGCAGTCTATTGCATAGTGTAATGATTAGGAATATTCCAGGTTTTAAGTTTTGAAAAAGCTGACAGATTTTGGCTTGATCAAGTAGGGCTTATTCTTTTCACAGGTAGGAAGTTGCTAGTGTTCATTCAGATGCTCAACTACATCAGGATCAGTGTCTCTTTCATTCTCTTGGGATTTTGCTACTCTGGCATTATATGTGTTTCAAGTAAGAAGAAGAGTTAGGGTGAAGAGGACATGAGAGCACCAGCAATGCATGTCACTTTTACCAAGAAAGGAAAGCTTTCTCAAAGTCCATTTCATTGTATAGATGTACCACAGTTTATCTGTTCACTTATTTGAAGCATCTTGGTTGCTCTCGATTTTTGGTAATTACAAATAAAGCTGCTCTAAACACTCATGTGCAGGCCTTTGTGTAGAATAAATTTTTAGCTAATTTGGGTAAATACCCAGGAACACGATTGTTGGATTGTACAGTAAGCCTCTATTTAGCTTTGTAAGAAAGTTTTAAACTGTCTTCCGAGGTGGCCGTACTATTTTGTGTTCCCAGCAGCTATGAATAAGAGTTCCTGTTGCTCCATACATTCCTTGCCAGCATTTGATGTTGTCCTTGCTTTGGATTGAGCCATTCTAATAGGTTGTAGGTTGGGCTCATTTTTACTCCTTCTTTTCTCTCCATTTGGAAGGACCTCCCAGGACCTTTAAAGTCGCCTTCTTGTGAAACTCCCTGGTGTTGCCCCACTGCATAGCCCCTGCTGGTCCCAAAGTGAAGCGATCTCTTCCTGTTTGAAATCCTCTTTCTGTCCCTTTGTCGTCTTCTTTGCAGTGTACACAACAAAGGTATTCCTTCCCATAGCAGTGACAACCCAAAGCCTCTGCACAATTTCTGGAAGTTCCTGAGGCATCACTTTCTTGTGGTCTCCCTGCTCTGTTTGGCTCCTCGGCTGTTTCCGTTTTCCCATGAATCAATTCTGATGCAAAACTCAGCTCCGTCATAGGTTTTCAGAGGAGCGTTGACCCACCCTAAGGATTGTGTTCTCTTTTCTCCTCACTCCCTTATTGGAGAAAAACTACTTCTCTGTCTCATGTGTAATCACTTCACATCCATCTCTTATGCTTTTGGGGCTGCCCACACGCATGTCCCATGGGAATATATGTAGTGGTCAGTTGGCCTATCAAGGCATATTGGCACACAGAAATCTATACCCGTAAGAGGAATTCTACCAACTGCTAAGACAATACAACTCATCTCATTACATTTGATGTAACTATTTTCATAATATCTTTTTTTTTCTGTCTGAATAGTAAGATACTCAAGGATACGAATTAACTATGCATTTTTCTGATCTCTGTTGTCCTGCTTTAGAAGTGGCAGTCAATGCATTTTTATTGAATGAATGAATGAATTCACTCTATATGACTTCACTCTCTGTGAAAAAGAAACAAATGAACTTCTTTCAAGTAGACATTCTGGAATTATAAGCAGTTAAATCATGTGATGTACAAGTAGCAACAGACCATGGTTTGTTTTCCCAGTATATAACATTTATTAAGAAATGACAGAAGGTGTTGTATCACAGATATAAGTGAAGTAGCCAACAGGCAAAATCATTCTGCTCCAAAAACCAAGGGAGGGGTCAGATATTAAAATGTGGAAAATCTAGCCTACTTCTTGGTTTAGAAGCTGAATGTTGGCTGGAGAGCTTCTATTCTCTCTTTTGACATCTGAGGAATGCCACTTGGCTATATGTTGGTGCCTTTGATCTTGGGAAAAAATGTAGGTAAACAGAAGATAAAAATAGATCATAAATCAGGGAAAAATTTAGACTGGACAGCTCTCATGGATAAATTCCAGAACATGTCAGTGATTTTTAATCTTGCAGAAATAGCAGAAATTGTTTATCCATAGTAACTTGATGATCAGCAAGTGAGTGTACAGTGTTTCTGCATCCCCAGTGAAGGCTCAAGGTATTCATTGTAGAATGGAATCAGATAGAACTGTGAGGCTTGTATACTTGGTAGTCCCCACAGCAGAAAATGAAAGAGAATTCTAAGAACTTGGTCCAGTGGTCAAGAGAAGAATAGTTCAGAGATACTGTGTCCTGGGCAATTGAAAATCAGCCACCTGGCTTTTAACAGGTGGGCTCACAGCAGATGGGCCCATAGCAGGTGGGCTCACAGCAGCAGAGTGGGCGGCAGCAGGACTGTCCACAGTAGGATGGGCGGCAGCAGGCGGCCTGGGCATGGTGCAGCTGGCAGCAGGTTGGGGGTGTGCAGCTCACCACGCAGGAGGGGGGCAGGCAGGTGCCCTCCACGCGGCAGTCAGGGCGGCACCACCTGGTGCGGGAGCTCAGGGCTCCACAGCCAACCTCCTGGCCACAGCAGGTTGGCTGGCAGCAGGTGGTCTGGCAGCAGGTGGTCTGGCAGCAGGTTGGCTGGCAGCAGGTGGGCTGGCAGCAGGTTGGCTGGCAGCAGCTGGAGCCACAGGAGAAGCGGGGAAATCCGCAGAAGCTGGTGGAGCAGCAGGCCATGGTGTCAGGAGTTGGGCTGAGAGTTGGGTTGCTTGGAGGAGTTTCTGAGTTTTGGCAGTGGCTTCCACATCAGCCCTTTTATATACCTGAGCCAGCTGCTGTTTACAAAATTCTTAACATATTTTCCTTGTTTTCATTTCAATTTGTTGCTCAGTGGTCTTCCAATTGGCTTACACTGAAATACTTATGACACATTATGAGCAGCAATTTGGAAATTACTTTGTTTTATAGTTTCACTGGGACTCCTCATGCTAGTCCTTTGCTCTTTGGAATATGTTTGTGGTTTCCCATGTTCAAAGAGTCCTCCCATTTTAGCCCAAATAAACACCCTCATTTTTCATTATAATTATTTCACGTGATAATCTATCCAGAGCACTAAGGTTAAGGGTAATTGTGCTGTTATTTTTTACTATTATGTTTCCCTCCTGGAGGAATTCTATTGAATTTAGGGCATCAGGACATTCAGTGAACTGAAGAAGTACCTTTGGTCACACATAATTCAAAACTGCCGTCTCATTTACTCCAAGATCCTAGCAAATTACCATTATAGTTCCTTTAATTTCAATAAATTTAAAATGTGTAAATATTATTTATGTTCCAGGCCAAAAATCTTTTCTTGTGATCCAAATGATGGAGTATATAGGAAGGTATCCAGCAGAGTGCTTAGCTTATGGTAGAATCTTAATAAATGTTTATTGAATCTGATTCAATGAATGCTGATTGACTGGGTGGAGTAAAGAGCATGATTCACGAATGTCAGCGCCAGTCATAAATGATTAAACAGAGCATTCAAGCTGTAGTACGTCTCATGAAGAAGCCTTGTGATTTGCTGTAAAAAGAGACTGGGAAATGTTGAATTATTTTTTTCTGGATTTAATAGTTGAATCAAGGATCAGAAAAAACATATTTGACTTACGACATTTTGAAGACTATACCACCTAACATCTACTGTTTTCTTCTCTGAAACGCACAATCTTGTGTCTGATCCACCATTGCTACCCATTAAACGATAGAGGTAAGTGCTGGGAGCTTGTAAATAACTTGGAAAATATGTTTCTTATGTGACCTATCTTTCTGCATTTTGTATATCATACTCAAATGCTTAATGAATAATTTAAAAATTGAATGGTAAAGCTATTTTTTGTTGTTGTTGTTCTAGGTTTGTGTTAACTTCTAAAAAGACCATCTTTCAAGTTGGGTTGCAAAGTGCAAAATATAATACAGTGGTTTTAGATTTCTAAAGCATCTATCTGACAAATGATCATGGTAGAACTCACTGGTTGCTCTTCACAGGTGTTTGTTCTACTCTCATTCAGACCAGAGATACACCTTATCCAGTAAGTGAAGGTGAATATTTGGAGTTGAAGCTTAGAGGACAATTTGGGATCAGTGGGAAGAATGTGATAGGCTAAGGTATGGGAATGAAGTCTAAATGTTCTTGGAAAATAGTATCTGGTGGATATTTTTAAATCTATTTAGTAGGTAATACAATTTCTTTACATGTTGGGCTTGAATGAAGGAGAACATCCGGAATAGTAAAAGGAAGGAGACTAAAGATGGTATAAGCACCTCTTGGTAGGAATCTAGAGCTGTGGCCAACCTGAAAATTTTAGCTAAAAGTGGCTTTATTGATCTAAACCTAATCATAATACATTAGAGCATTTAAGTATTTGAATAATTATAAATATTATTTAATTCACAGAACATTTTGTTAACACACGGATCCAAGCATAATTTAATTTGTATTTAATCTTTCTGGTTTACTTTATGTGTATGTCTTAGAATTATCAGCAAAATGCAAACATACTCTTCTTGGATTCCAGCTGTAGGAGGACATGCTTAAAGGTAGAAGGAGGACATAACTCAGTTTATTTTGCACATTAAAACATTTTATTTGACATTAACAGGGGACATTAAGGAGAAAGCAGGTCTGAAGATGCATGGGGATCAAGAAATAGGGAGGGGAGCAGAGATGTCACTGAAATGAAGAACAATTCCATCATGGTCCCCTGCTCAAGCAGCCCAGGGTATCAGAACAGCCACCGGCGTCCTGACTACAGAGTTTCATTATCTCTGAGCGGCTTAGCAGCACCATGAAACTTGGCATCCAAGTAAAAATTGAACACTTCTTCAGAGATCAGTGTAGTTTTCTTGTGCTTCCTTTTTCATTCTTAAGTAATCAGTAACACGGCTTTTAACAGGTGGGCTCACAGCAGATGGGCCCATAGCAGGTGGGCTCACAGCAGCAGAGTGGGCGGCAGCAGGACTGTCCACAGTAGGATGGGCGGCAGCAGGCGGCCTGGGCATGGTGCAGCTGGCAGCAGGTTGGGGGTGTGCAGCTCACCACGCAGGAGGGGGGCAGGCAGGTGCCCTCCACGCGGCAGTCAGGGCGGCACCACCTGGTGCGGGAGCTCAGGGCTCCACAGCCAACCTCCTGGCCACAGCAGGTGGTCTGACAGCAGGTTGGCTGGCAGCAGGTGGTCTGGCAGCAGGTTGGCTGGCAGCAGGTTGGCTGGGAGCAGGTGGTCTGGCAGCAGGTTGGCTGACAGCAGCTGGAGCCACAGGAGAAGCGGGGAAATCCGCAGAAGCTGGTGGAGCAGCAGGCCATGGTGTCAGGAGGTGGGTTGAGAGTTGTACTGTTAAGAGAGGTTTCTGAGTTTGGACTGTACCTTCTGTATCTGTCCTTTTATATATTCCGTAGACCTGCATATTTACTTAACGTCTTTCTTTGATGTCAAATGCAAAGTCTGTCTCTGATTGGCTAACACCTGAGTTGTTTAGAAAATTAAAAATAGCATTTCAATAGCCTGATTCGGCCACTTGTCAATTAAGTCTCATCATGTTTCTTTTTTGCCCTCAGGACTAAATGAGGGCTCATCATGGAAGCCAATCACAGTAGTGCCTCTTTGTGCAAGTCACATGACAGCCTACACTTGAGCAAAGTGTTGCCCTGGCTCACTTTGTCATACTTGTCCTTTAATAACCTATGCAGAGTTTGCCTAAACTGATTTTCTTCCTAAGTGGTCACTCAATCATGATCATAATTTTATAAACAATTTGTCCATACTTGGAAAGACTCATGTTAGTGTCATCAAAACATAAGCTATAACCTGATTTATCAACTTCCAGACCAAGTATGCCTTTCTGTGATTAGTGTGTGTACGTTATATACAATCCTTAGAGTTTTAACCAATATTCTTGCCTTCAGTCATCAATGTATGTATTACAAAATGAAACCTTTAATTAAACTTTTGCTTGTAGATTGTTTTTTGACTTGATTAAATTAAAAATACATGCTAGTAATGAATATGCTTGTAACAGGTCAAATAGCACAGAGTTATACAAAGAAAAATTAATATCTTTCTCCCTTCACAAACATACATGCAAAACTAGCACTCCAGGCATGATCAATATTAACAGTTTGGTGCATATTCTTTGACACCTCTATCTCTGTTTTTGCAAATATAAACTAGCCTATTTCAGTAAAATTTGGGTCCCCTACACATATTTATAATTAAAAAATTTTTAATTGTGGTGAAATATAACAACATAAAATCTATGTTAGCCATTTACACCATTTATGTTAACCGTCTTAGCAGTTTTTAAATGGTCTTGTCACCCTTAAAAATCATTTGACCATATTCACATATAGAAGAATGAAATTAGACTCTTATCTCACACTATGTATAAAAATCAACACAAACTAGATTAAAGACTGAACCATAAGACCCAAAATGATAAAACTGCTAGAAGAAAACACAGAGGGAAAGCACCATGACATTTATCTGCGCAATGAATTTTTGGACATGAATTCAAAAGCACTGGCAAAAAAAGCAAAAGTAGACAAATGGGATTACAAGAAACTAAGAAGCTTTTGCACAGCCAATAAAACAATCAACAGAGTGAAGAGACAACCTACAGAATGGGAGAAAATATTTGCAAACTATATATCTGATAAGGAGTTAATATCTGAATCATATATGAAACTCAAAAATTCAAAACCTATAGTAAGAAAACAAATAACCTAATTTAAAAATGAGCAATGGATCTGAAGAGACATTTCTCAAGAGAAGACATACAAATGGCCAACAGGTATATGGAAAATGCTCAAAATCACTAATCAAAATGTAGATTAAAACTACAATGAGATATAATCTCATACCTGTTAGAGTGGTTATTATCAAAAAGGAAAAAAATAACAAGTGTTGGGGAGGATGTGGAGAAAAGGGAATCCTGGCACACTGTTGGTGAAAATGTAAATTAGTACAGCCTTTATGGAAAACAATATGAAGGTTCCTCAAAAAATTAAAAATAGAAATGCCCTATAATCCAGAAATCCTACTTCTGTGTATATATCTGAAGGAAACTAAAGCAGTATTCTAAAGAGACATTTGCACTTCCATGTTCATTGTAGCATTATTCCCAATAACCAAGATATGGAAACAACTGAGTGTTCATCACTGAATAAATGGATAAAGAAAATGTAATACACACACATACACACACACACACACACACAGAGCAATATTATTAGCCATAAAAAGAAGGAAATTCTGTCATGTGGGGAAACATTGATGAACCTTGAGGACATTATGCTAAGTGAAATGAGCCAGACAGAGAAAGATGAATATTGCACTATCTCACTTACATGAGGAATCTAAAAAAGTTGAACCCATAGAAGTAGAAAGTGGAATGGCGTTTAACAGGGGTTGGGAATGGTGAGAGGTTTGGGGGAGATATTGGCCAAAGGATATAAAATTTCAGTTAGGAGGAATAAGTTCAAGATATCTGCTGTATAACACGGTTATAATATATAGTAATAATAATGTACTGTATTCTTGAAAATTGCTGAGAGTAGATTTTGTGTTTTCACTTCAAAAAATAAGTATATGACATAATGCATATGTTAATTAGCTATTGCAAAAGGTATACATATTTCAAAACAAAGTGTTGTATACAATAAATATATACAATTTTTATTTGTCAATTTAAATGAATAAATGAATGAATGAATGAGAAAATAATTTGACCATATATGTGAGGGTTTATTTCTGGGCTTTCTGTTCTATTCCATTGAGCTTTATGTCTCTCTTTATGTCAGTACCTCACTGTAATGATTATCGTAGCATTGTAATAAATTTTGAAATCAAGAAGTATAAAACCAACTTTGTTCTTTTTCGAGTTTGTTTTGGCTATTTGGAACCCCCTCCTGATTCCCTATGAATTTTAGGATAAATTTTTCTATTTCTGCAAAAAATATCATTGAGATTTTGATAAGGGTTGCATTAAATTTGTATATTCTTTGGGTAGTGTTGATGTCTTAACAATATTAAGTTTTCCAATTCATGAGCCAGGGATGTCTTCTCATTTATTTGCATCTTCTTTAATTTCTTTAGCAGCATTTTGTAGTTTCTGATGTAAAAGTCTTTCCTCTCTTTGGTTAAGGTTATTTCTACTCATTTTATTCTCTTTGATGCTATTATAAGTGGAATTTTTTTAAAAAATTATTTTCAGATTGTTCATTGTTAGTGTATAGAAATGCAACCAATTTTTGTGTGTTGATTTTATATCTGCAACTTTGCCGAATTTGTTTATTAATTCTAACTGGGGTTTTTTTTTTGCATGTAATCTTTAGGGGTTTTACATATAAGGTCATATCTGTGAACAGATATATTAAATAATTTGATTTTTCCTTTCCAATTAAGTTGGCTTTTAGTTTTATTTCTTGCCTAATTGTTCTGGCTAGGACTTCCAGTACTATGATAAATAGAATGGGCAAAAGTGGGCATATTTGGCTTGTTCCTAATCTGGAAAAGCTTTCAGTCTTTCACTGTTGATTATGTTAGTTATGGGCTTTTCATCTATGACTTTTATTATGTTGAGGTATCTTCCTTCTATCCCTAGTTTGTTAAGTTTTTTAAATTATTATTAAAGTGTTTTAAATTTTGTCAAATGCTTTTTCTGCACTAATTGAGATGACCATGTGTTTTTGTTTTTTTTTCCTTTATTCTGTTACTGTAGTGTATTACATAGATTGATTTTTGTATGTTGAAGCATCCTTGAATTCCAGGATAAAATCTCACTGGGTCATAGCATTTTATCCTTTTAATGTGGTGTTGAATTCTGTTTGCTAGTACTTTTTGAGGATTTTTATATGACTATTCATCAGGAATATTGGTCTGTATTTTTCTTACAGTGGCTTTGTCTGGCTTTGGTATTATGATAATGCTGGCCTCATAGGATGGGCTTGGAAGTGCTTCCTCCTCTTTAATTTTTCAAAAGAGTTTGAAGAGGATTTATGTTAATTTTTCTTTAAATGTTTGGTGTAGTTCACCAATGCAGTCATCTGGTTCTGAGCTTTTCTTTGTTAGGAGGTTTTGGATTACTGATTCAATATCCTTGTTAGTTATAGGTATGTTCAGATATTTTATTTCTTCATGATTTAGTTTTGGTAGGTTGTGTATTTCTAGGAATTTATCCATTTCATCTAGATTATACAATTTGTAAGTATATCCTATACATATTACTCATTCTTTTAATAGCTATATAATATTCCAAAGTATGATCATACCATAATTTATTCAGTCATCCCCTTATTGATAAAACCTTGATCACTTTTAGTTTATGCTTTTGTACACAATAAATGCACACAATTTCTAGGAATTTATCCATTTCATCTATATCATACAATTTGTAGGTATATCCTACAATCACAGACTTTTAAGCTGAAAGGGACTTTAAATGGATCCAGCTTTAGGTACCAGGGATGGTCGTATGGTATATGACACCAAGCTCTTAACTGAGAATTAAATAATATTAATTAAACAAAATGGGCTTCTCAAACTGGTTCTACCACTAAGCGACTATGTGACCTCAGAAAAATCACTTAATTCATCTGGATATTGGTGTATTCATCTGTAAAATGAGAGGATTTCTCAGACACATCCCAGGGCTGACACTGTAATTGCTCTACTAGATTGTTCATTCCTTAAGGGCACAATCCAACCATGTCTAATTCACTTAGGTATCCTATGTAGTGCCTTCTGCACCATTTTGCATGTGGATCTCAGTAAATGCTTATTGAATAAAAGAGGGGAGGAATGATTCACAGTGTATGGTAATGATGAAAAGCCAAATTTGCAATTCACCTAAGTCACCTGTCATTTTATTTTTTCTCTCACCGGGAGCTGTTCAGGTAGTAATAACTGAAAGTGGTTGGTTGGTAGTTAGAACCCAAGGGGCAGAAGGATAGAGCATGTTTCATTTCTGTTCTGTTGTTCCAGGGTGTTTTCTGGATTGGATTAGGTCTCTAGATAATATGTCAGGAAAATCAATTTTTTGCTTACATGTTACCCTTTATTCATGCCTTCTAATTTCTAGATTTTCAGTAGCCCTTGAATAATAAAGCATTGTAATTTTAACCTAAGTAAAAAAATACCTTCAGTACTCTACAGTTCTAAGTCTGAGGAACCATGAATAAATCCTGATTCTTATCCAGAAAACCACCTAAACTTATAAAGCATTTCCTAGTATCAGTGTTTCAATGTGTATAAGTTTATTGTGTACATATATTATATGTAAATACATATGTATATATAATATGTGTGT